GCTATGTTGTAAAGCCATTTAATTCAATCAAAAGTCAGACTTGTTTTTGTTATCTCTTAGCATTGTTTAGGGTCTGTTTGAGTGTTCTAAGCCTAGTACATTTAAGAATTGAGTGTTAGAAAGTATCTACTAAAGTTCATTGTGCAACATTCAAGCTGGAAAACTCAATCATGTGGAGTTTACGGCCGTAAACTAGAGCTTACGGCCGTAAGCTCTTATTTGGCCGTGAACTAGTCCTATGTGTATGGTTTTCCTTCGCTTTTCTTCACTTCTCACACTTCCAAATCAAGAACACTCAATTCTCTCTCAAGTATCATCAAGAACACCAAGAACACACACTAGTTTCTTGGGGCCTTAAACACCCTTTCTAGCTTCCAAATCGTAAGTATCCTTTCCATATACTTTTTATTCATTAGAAGTACATGTTTAGCATCCAAGAAACACCCATTTAAGCATGATCATCAAGAGTTTACGACCGTAAAATCTTCATATGGCCGTAAACCCCTCATGTCATGAACGTAAACACCATCTTGGCCGTAAACACACTTTTGTGTGGTCGTAAACACCTTTTGTGCAATCATTTGTGATTGTAACACTTCATTCCAAGTGCTTCCTAGTCCTTAAGGTTGTTTCCCTATCATGATTAGTTGTTATATACACTAATTATATACATATATACGGAGATAAGGAATTCAATCGTATATGGTATTGTACAAATACAGTATGGCAGGATTGACTAGCGGGATGGTTTCAAAAGAAGGATTTCTTGCGGTATCGGTACTCAATAGGGAACTTAAGGGATAGGAATGTACTTTGAGTTCTCAATTCTATTGCATTAGAAAGTGGGGAATTCAATCGGTATGGTCGAAGGCAATCAACTGCCTGACTTCTGTAGATTCGTAGTGAGATTGACTGAATTCAGTTTGACTGAGAGTGAGCAAAAGCATCTTGTCAATTGAAACTGCGATTAGTAAATTGATTTCCAGAATCTAGTTGGACTTAGAGTTCGATGTCTATCTTGTAAGTCTTTACAGAATGGACTTTGACTTTTGAAAGTGTGGAATTTGGCAGGATTGAAGGTATTAGGTAAAAATCCACTTTCTTGAATGAAGTGAACTGGGAAGGGAATGAAAATAGGATAGGTTTGCGAAAGACCGAGGTCTTGACTTCTGCCTGTGCCTCTCGCTGTCATCTCGTCTGGATCTATATAGGGGATCGAATGCATTTGAACTCCTTCTATTTAGCGCTCTCAAGCTGAGGTAACTCGAAGCTTTGAATGGCTCCTGCCTAGCTTCCTTCCAGTGATTAGAGTCTTCTGTTTGCTGTTTTTCATCTTGCTATGAGTGCCTTTACCCTTCTCTAAGAAGCCATAGGACTGTGCTATGAGGGAGGAACCCTTAGGTTTGCGGGGCATTGGATTCAATCCAGCCACAGGTTCTCCCTTTCAAGTAGCATAGACAATTTGTCATTGAAAAGAGTAGAATCTTACGCCAAATGTCGTAGATAAATATACTCAGCCGGGAGAATAACTAGAGACAGGTATATATATATATATATGTGTGTGTGTGTGTGTCATTATATGCTTAATAGAATCTGTTTGTGCTCGAGACATCACTTGGCACACCTAGCATCCTATATCGATCTTACATTCGAATCACTCACTACAGGTGAGTTCATACCCCTAACTTATCTTTTAGATGATTTTATGGGGGGGGGGGGGGATACAAGTAGAAAACCATATAGTTGTATAATCAATCACATGTGATTTATAACTATCAAAACAAGAAATTTCTTATACTTCAAACTGTGTTATCAAACAAACTATTTCAAATCATTTTATAAATTGACATCAATTCATCAATAACCATTAAAATGGTTAAAACTCTTTTATATAATAAAAATCTTTTAAACTCATATATTGTTAAAAATCATGTATACTTGGATATAGTTATATAAATAAGATTGAAAGGGCTTAGGACGGATAACTCGCTTTATTTGTTGTTCCTTGTTTGGTTGTGGACCTAGCGTATCGGTTATTTTTCCGAGTGTCGTTTAAATCTTAATTATATATTATGTATATGTATTTAGATATAAAAATTCTTACAATTAGTTCATTACCTTTGGGTAGCAAAGGTATACAAAATGAACAAACATTCAATTATAGAGCTTACTAGTAAACTATAATAGGTATGGTTTAGGAGAATAATACTTACTATTTCTAGAACAATGAAACTTACAAGAGTCAATTCATTCATGATTCAGTTCAAACATATAATAACAAGAAAAGAAAGGAACATGCGATAACAGGAACAGAAAGAAACATACAATAACAAAGAACAGATAGGAACATACGATAACAAGAACATAAATGAACATTCATCATTTTACAAGAACAAGATAACATTAATGTGAAACTACTTCACGGCTTAGCAATATACTTGTTAGGTCGCGTTTTGTAACCAGAGTCTCCTAGAGGGAGAGCAGACATTGTGTGTATAGATCTATACGAGACTGACAAGCCCGCATCCCGACTATTCGCTACAGTTTGGCCGGCAGGCCAAGGGGTGACAAATGTCACATCTGTTTCAACGCCAACAGGTCGTTGTGTTAAAAACTTGTCAATTAGTATGGTTATAACCACATCACATTTTAACATTACTTAAACAAATTGGTTTTAAGGTAGTTAGTGTTTCAGTAGTTACTTATTACAACATTACTGTACACTATCATTTCCCTATTACATTCATATAGTAATCTTCTCACATAAAATGTAATGTAAACTATTTTCTGGTAATAATAATCATATATTTTGGAAAAACACTCACTTTTACAAAAGAACAAACATATAGAACAGTTGGGTCTTGGTAGAAGACTACTCTCCATTTTATTAGAAAATATAGGATTTTCTAGGAAGTATTCAAACATTTATAAACTTTACATCAAACATTTACACACTTTACATAATACATTTACAAACTTTACATCAAAGATGTACCAACTTTACATTAAACACTTACAAACATTTTCTTCAAACTTGTTCAAAAATTTGACACTAAAATACTTATGAACTCACTAGCTTTAATGTTGATCTACTCTTTCAAAATAACTTGTATTCTCAGATCATTAGTAGACAGGTACATTGGACCAGGTTTTTGAGAACACGGAGCGTGTTCAACACTCGTCTTTTATTTTGATATCTATATATTTGGTATCTTACAAATACATTTAGAGCACACTAGTGTTAACTATATTATTAATGCAATGGATGATGGTGTTGCTTGTTTTAGTATTGTGCATTGTTATGATACTGAACATGACGTCCTCCGCCCCCGAACGTTTCTGCCGTTCCGGTTTGGGGGTGTGACAGATTGGTATCAGAGCTTTGTTTATAGTGAATTAAGTATATCAACCCATAAAAGATATACAACTATAAACACAACGGGATTAAAATACTCTAACCAAGAGTTTATACATTTTAAATAATAAAATATTTAACTAAAGTATACATACCTGCATTCATACTAAAATCAGTTTCATACTAGAACAGAACAAAAGTATTGTGATTATTGGACAACACAAGTAGGCTTGGGGATATATCATCAGATCTGGGAGTGATATAGCCTGATCAACTATATCTTTCCGAAAAGTGATTAACATGTGCCTAGGAATGGTTGTGGTGTTGCAGCAATTCTAAAAACTTACCAACACTACTACAATGAGAGCTTTAGAACATAACATAAACTTAAAATACTATAGGAATATTTTGTGTTACTATAAACTATTTATTTGAGAACTAAAAGGTCTTTATTAGTAGGTCAATAGTTGTGGAGTGGATACGGTAATGTTATATGTGACTAGGGTGTAATAGACTTAGAATATGTGATCTTTTCTCTATATCTTGTTCCTTTTTTGGTTTTGGACTTAGAGTTAGGGTCACTTATTCGAAGGTCTATTCTAATTTGGTTACATATGACTGGTATGCACTACGCAAGAATTGAAGTAACTGGTAAGGATCATCCTATAATTATCTTAAGTAGTACGTCTATTTTACTATCTCTTTTATCCATATTCTTGCGTAGATAACATGGTTGGATTTCATCTCCCTCGCAACCCAAATTTTCCCAACCAAGGAAATGATGGATGGCTCGATGCAGAGCCAAAAGATAATCATCCAATTTGTTTATATGATGACTTCACAGAAAACTTCCTAGAGGATTCTGACTCCGAGCCAGAAGTCAATGATCTACCCCTAGTGGCTCCAATCCAAAATCCTAACCCTCATCCAACTTTTCAAGGCCCAACACCTCTGTGGGCTGAGAACCTGAGAAAATGTAGTCAAGAGCAGGGAAAACCCTTACCCTACAACAGAGATCGAAGCTTCTATAATCTGAGTGAGGGAAGCTCAGCATACAGAATTCTTCCTATCTTGGTTCGCCGAGTGGCTCGAAATGCTGAGCTAGGAACGACAGCCATTCAACAAACCATTGAGCTTGATGCAGACACAAACGTCAATGCGGAACGTATTGACAATCTTGAAGTTGCTCACGGGAGAGCTATGAGAGACAATGAGGCTCTGCAGCAAGAGCTAGCTGTAACCCGAGCTGAAGTCATAGAGCTCCGAGCACGCCAAACAGTTTACGAACGACACCTTCTTGATGTGGAGCCTCTGCTGGCCGAATTAAGGGTTCATCCGAGGGGTGCCCGTCGCTAGTAGGAGATGTTGTACTCATAATTTCTTTTGGTTCAGGGAATAGCCTTCTTATCTATGCTCTAAGTAGCACTTTTCCCTGTAAATTCATGTTTACTTAAGACCTTGAACTTTCAGTTTGTTAGGTCTTAGTACTGTCAAAACTTTCTTATTCTGGTTTGATGTAAGACCTACTCCTAGGTCATTTTCCTAAACTTGTTACATCTTTAATACCAATAATATTGACTAACATCGTCAACTTTTTAAAACCACCATCTATTACCGATACACCAGAGGATATCGATCCAGAGAAATGGCTCCCCAAATGTCATTGTCGCTTTCTGATGGTGCTCTGAAGATTGTCGATGCTGATGAGGAATCAGGTTTCACCTTCTTCGGTTCCTCCTTTATTGAAACTGGGTTCAGTATTGAAGAGTTAAGATGGAAATTCTATGAAAAAAGTGCTGCTGTTGGACCACCGCTTTCTGTCGAGATCTCAAACTCTCCTCCTTTGGCTATGTAGGCCAATCTGGTTCGTGTCCCTGTTGGTAATGCTGATCGGCCGTTTTTTCCCTTGTCGTCAGATACTGCTGCTCCGACTGATTCTCTTCCATGTGAAAGAGTCGGCCCTCATCCTCACTCCGATCGTTGGTCTTCTCCTCTAATAGCGGACCAGGTTTTTTTTTTTGGGAAAGATTCCCCTGAAATCGTCAAACAACCTCCTACCTTGTTCCCTCCTAGCATTGGGAATGGCGAATGTCCTAATAAGGAAAGTCAATCAATACTCGATGAGGGCAATCCATCTCTTTCCCCTGCTGAAGACCCCACATGCATTAATTGCCCTCCAATTGCAAGAAACAAAGCATTTATTCATGTGTGTCTCCCCTTGATACTCCATCTTTACACGTGCTTGTGCCTAAACCCTTCCTTGTCTGTTTTCTATGTCGATTCTTCTATCACTCAAAATTCAGGTATATGCTTGTATCTGTGTGCATGAATGGATTATTCCAGTCGATTCAATGTAAATGAGACTTTTTTAACATAAATTGTACCGCTCTTGATTTCTAGGGTTTTATTTGTGTAGAGGTTTAGGGGAGGGTTTAAGCCAGTGGTGATCTATAAGTGTAACTGTAGTTGCAAATATATATAGTGTAAAAGAGGCTGTGTCAATGGCATTCTTCTTATATGTAAAGTACAAAGTAAATGTAGTTTGTCACTATTTTTATCAATTTTACTTCTTCTTATACGATAAAAATCATTTTTTTTTGTAGATGATTCAATGGATGATATTGGTGAGATTCCAATTCTATTGGAATGGAATCATGAATTCCAATTTTGTTGGAATGGAATCATGAATTATAATTCTGTTGGAATGGAGTATGGATATTTTCTCACTGATTTATGCATGTTCTACAATTATTGGTTATTGGTTTTGGTGCAATTCACAATTCCACATAGTTTTCCAAAGGAATTTAGTTTTTTATTTTTCATGTGCTAATGCATTATTGGAATCCAAGCAACAATTTGGTTTTGTTTTCACAGAATTTGATGCTTGAAAAACGGACCACGAAATTGAAGGTGATTCTAAGCAACATTATTCTTTTAGAATGTAATAGTGTCGTTGGATTTTGATGTTTTCTTTCCCATCTTGAAAGTTTTTTTTTAGTTTTATTCTTTAACAATAAATGTAATTCTTCACAACTGATACCCGTATTCTATAAAAAATAATGTATTTTTTGTTTTTATTCTTCAATTGATTGTTCAAGAATTTGTTATTCTACAAGAAGTTTTTAAAGTCATGATCAAGAAATAGGTTCAAGAATATTTTAATTATTTATGGTTCAAGAATAATTTTACTTTTGAATATACTCATAAACATATTCTGTCAGAATGTCAAAATTAAAAGAATTATAATTCATATAATCGGATTTTTAAAATTAATAGAATCTATAATCCATTAAAATATGCAATTTTCCTTTATTAAATCTATATTAATTGACTAAAATACCCTTGTAATTAATTTAGATGATAAGAAGGAATTTTTGGTAGGAAGGTAAGAAGTTTTTTTCATACATATTTTTTTCGTGAACAAACAAAATGAATCATTACATGATTCATTTGTAAAATGATTCACAAGAAAAAATTCTCAAAAAAACATCTCGATGATTCATTTATACAATGATTTGGTTGTTATTCACTAAAATTATCATAAAACTGAATTTTTTCTTAATTTAATTAAAAATGAATCATAAATATGTTTTTTTGGGATTTTATTTGTGAATCATCTTACAAATGAATCATCTAGTGATTAATTTATTTTGTTCGTCAAAAAAATATGTAGAAAAAAAACTGCTTACCTTCCTACCAAAAACCATTTCTTACCGGATCTATATCATATATATATATATATATATATATATATATATATATATATATATATATATATATATATATATATATATATATATAATAGTCTTTATGACAAAACTACATAAATAATGTTTGTGTAAAAAAGTTATATAAATGATCCATGGAGGTATATCCATGGTAACAACAAGTTATTGATATTTCTACAAATAATATTGTCATTTGAAGTTACATACAAGATATGATTTAGTCAAATTATGAAGAAAAAAATAATAAGGGGTTAGTTTGTTCATTCATGATGATGTGATGTATTAATTAGAAACTAAAAGGAATTAAAGGTCTTAAGTGCAAGCATAGGATTTATATATTGTAACGCTTGATCCATTGTAGGTAAAATTCCTTGTTTAATTGCTAAGTTTGATAGCGAAGTGATGATCTACGCAAGGGATAGATTGCCTCTATGCGTTACGTAGATGGTCACTTGGAGGTGGGGTTTTAGAAACTTACGCAAAGTGTAAGTAGGAGTACACAAGACGTACTCAGCCAGGGTCCAAACCCTAAAATCAGGGTTTTTAGCCACATTTAAACACCTTAACCTTAATAAACCCTTATCATTCATTCATTCTCCGCCTCATTTTCCCCAAACGACTCCCTTGAAACCTTAATCCCATTTTGAGCATAGAGAGCTTTAGATTTTGTTTTTGGGTGCTTAGAAAGCTTTAAGCCTTGTGGATCTAGGATTTGTATCTCTTAGGCATTCTCCGGGACGTATAAAGTTTAAAACTTGTTAAATATCTTGATAGATCTTGTTAGCTTTAGATTTATGTCCCTTTTATCTCATATTTTTGGTCTAGTTGGGTATGAGCTACTCCATGCCTTATGAGTAGCCTTTTCAGACGTATTTGAGTTCATGGAGTCATAAAAATGCAATCTTGATCCTTATTTTCCATCCATGCATGAGTTATGGAGCTTAGGATCTTGTGTTAAGTTAGGGTTTTGGATTTGGACACTTTCTAGCCATGTAAAGTCATAAGGTTGGAAACTTTTATGATTTAGGATGCTTTTTGGGGTTAGATCTGAGTATTGGGTGAGAGGTTTTATAGTGATAAGTGCTTAATAAAGAGTTTGTTTTTGGCTTGAGTACGCAGGACGTACCTAAGGGTATGCAATGTGTACCCCTATATTGTCCCCTAAAAGCTAAGCCTTAAGCCACGTAAGGTGTAGAGTTGGAGTTTGCAGGGCATACTCGGTCAGGTTATGACCATTGACCTTAACCGTTGACCATTGACTCTGACCAAGTTTAACTTTAGGTCATTTGGGATGATTTTTATAGTAGATTGAGTCTGGGTCCCTGTTTATTGTATAGGTGACTTGTAGAGACATCGTTTGGAGCAGTGATTAATTAAATGATTTATCAGATTGTGAGGTGAGTTTTCCTCACTGTGCCTGTGGGTCGAACGTACTAATTCTACCCCACTAGGTTATATATCCTGGTATATATATGATGATGTTATGCTTGATATATGTTAGACTTTTAGATCTGTATGATTAACTGTATTAACTGGTTATATGTTAGACTGGTAGATCTGTATGATTACATGTATTTGTTGGTTATTAAATGATACTATATATTTCAAAATGTTATTGTTTTGTTGGGTTGAGGCGGTCCTGCTTTATGCTGAAGGCCAAGATACCCGGGGAGATTCGGATATGCTGTAGGCCTTGTGAGGAGGCCCAGTCAGGCCAAAGATCCGAAGAGCGGTCCAGATAGATTGTAGGCCCTACGAGGCGGTCCAGTCAGGCTAAAGGCTCATGAATGCATGTTGTTATCTATTTGGTTATGTGGTGTATTGTGGAGGAACTCACTAAGTTTTGGCTTACAGTTGACTTTATGGTTTCAGGTACTATTGAGGACAGGAGCAAGGCGAAGACTTGATTTTGCATATCATCCTAGATTTTTATGTGACTTATGATTTTGGATTTTGGAAACTATATTTTTGTGCAATTTATGGATTTTGGAATGGATTAATTTTTTTTTTTGACTTTTGAGATGTTACATATACCGACTAAAGAGGATAATAAATTTGATACCTTATCCAATTTAGGCGTAGAACCAACCATAATTTCTTTCTCCCATCTCTTCCTCTAAGGTTTCTTCAAGTTCTTGGCAGCCCACCTCTCTCCCGGAGAGGGCTTAGTTTTGGCTACAAAAAAGAAGAGGATTGTTGTCTTTTGCTTTATAATTAATTTTATGGTGCTACTATATTATAAAGGTTATAGTTTAGGCTCTATCCCATCCTAGACATGTGAAGAATCGATCACACACAAAGATGTATACAATTCGACCTGCTCTCAGATTTTTAGTTTTGTTGCATCTAGTCATAAACTCATGATCATTGGTGCAATATGATGATAACTTTTTTTATTTTAATTTCAATGTTTTTTTTTTTTTTTTAAATAAAACAATTATATTCCAACAGTAATATTAGAACAACATTCATAATTTTTTCAGAAAAAGGTAATCAATGTTTTGTGAGAATAGTAGGGTATACCTTGGACACAATAATTAGGAAAAGCATTGGACACAATCATATCCCATGTAGTTCATTGTTTTAATAATAATAAAAGAATTGGCTACTAAAGTTTAAATGGTTTTTTTCACACGTTTCGATTCATTAAGATATAGGTTATTTATACGGTTTTGGCATTACAATAATAAAAATAATTATATATAACATGTTTAAAATTTTATGGTTGTTTAACTAGCTATAATAACATAAATGTTTATAAATGAAGATTATAAAAATGAAGTGTCAAAATGGATGTGTTGTCACAAATGGATGAAATACACTTTTAATTATATAAAAATGGTTATTTAAATTGTATGTATTCGGTAACCCTTTGACTCGACTAGACCTATAATCTAGGATTTTTGTTTGTTTGTTTGTTTTTTTTTTTAAATTGAAATTTTGCAAGGAGCATGTCGTTTCAATTATTTATTTTTCTAATGTAAAATTTCATGTGATAGGTTAGTTAGAAAATATATACTAGATTAGTAATTGTAATAATGAATGATTCAATACTACCAACAAAGACCAAGAAGATTTGTCAAGGAGTTCCACTTGAGCATGAAGAGTTGATACATAGCAAATAGGAACTGATCATCAATATAGTTGTTTTCTATCTAGAAATGACCATGTTTTTTTCACATGTTGGCTCACGAGAAAAACACATAGGATTGAGGCAAATGTTAACGTTATTATTAGCATGTTTGTTGCATTTATTTTAATTGTTTCATGGTTGCTTAAAATAAAATTGGAAACAAAATCAATAATTGTTATAAGTTAACAAATGAATTTTGCAAACAATATTAGTATTTATAAAAATTTTAAAACATATATTTTACAAAAAACTTTAAAAATGGTTGTTTGCTAAAAAGAAAAGTTAAATATTTTAAATAGATAAAAAGAAAAACCATTTTTATAAAATTGAAAATATCACGCTACTCATGAAAAACACATATGGAACTAATAGTCATTTAGCATGGGGAAGTGTTATAGCCAACGCGTTGGTTAGGGTTTAGCCAAAGTGATGTGGTACTCGTGATAACTCGAAAATCTCAGATGCGGTGTCACGTGTTGTTTGCATGGTCGATTTACCATCCAGGTTTGTGATTGACGAAATACATGTCATGAGCAAGGATGAGCATGGAAGAGATTAAACTTGGCATTCAACAAAACTCAATAAGTCCAGATAGATGTAATGATTTCATAGAGATAGAAATTAGCAAAAAGTATTATCTACCTAAATAGATTCTTGTTGTGATTACAACATACCATTTCGTAACTAGTAATCAAATATGAGTCCTAGCCTTAATTAAATATTTTGATTTGGGTAATATTTTTTCAGGATTATACAAGTCAACTAAAATAAATTTTGTTCTGATGGATGTCTGCAGACAAAAACTTGTCCACTATAAAATTTTCATTGGTACAAATGTGCTCAAATGATAAGTTGATTAGGTCGAACTTTCTTTGACTGCATTCGTGTGCTAAGAATAACTCTCAAGTATTAAAAGAGAGAATATGATATGGATGAAGCTCTTCCCAAGGCTCCTCCAACTAATGCAAC